GTTTCCGGGGCACACCTTACCTGGGCGAGCGAGCACGCCCCGCTGCCGTATTTCCACCCCGGAGCGCCTGCTGGCACAGAGCTGGTGCCGCAGGGCCAGGGGTGTCAGCCAGCGCCGCTTCTGCCTTTGAAGGGCTGCGGGGAGGGACGACAAAACGAACACATCCCCTCATAACGAAAAAGTGAAGCTTTATTTTTGGTTATTTCCACAAATTTCCAGCTCAGCTTCTGCCTTTGAAGGGCTGCGGGGAGGGACGACAAAACGAACACATCCCCTCATAAGGAAAAAGTGAAGCTTTATTTTTGGTTATTTCCACACATTTCTCAACGAAACCTTAAGACAGAAAAGAGAAATCATCGCACATGCTCAAAACAAACAATTTGCAGACTTCCTTTGTCAGCATCCCCCAGTAAAAATTCCAGCACGGAGAGTACACATAGCCATGAAACATCCTGGTTTTTTAATGCAAGAAATACATATCACTTTGGCTTTTTGCCACTGGCGTGACAGGTGAAAGGCAAATAATACTTCAGACTTCAACACTAAATATTAAGCAGGAAATCATTTGAAAATTTTTTACCCTGCCTGCCCTTTCAGAAGTGCAACAGCCTGGAAAGCAGCCACTGTCATGGTGCTTCTGCCCAATTAGCAAGCGCTTGCTGGCCAAGTGATGGCTTACATTTTTCATTCTCCGCCCCCTGAAACTCTCCCCTCCATGGAGCTGCAAGAAAAGATTAAAGCGTTTTCCAATTTTTAATGGCAGATAATTAATCTTAATATATGCAAGTTGTAAGATGCCAGATTGCATCTTTAAATGATTTTTCAGACTACTGAAAGATAAGCAATAAATAACTCTTAATAAATGAAGAACATTCCCTTGAAGTGTTTTACTACTCTCTCTGCTTACATAATAATCCGATAGCCCACAACAGAAACAGAACCTCTCCTTCAGAGAGGGTATTCCCTTTCACCAAACAAAAAACAAGAGAAATATTACCTTATTAAATCATTGCATAATGATAAACTCAGAGTACATTTATGCTAGACACACATAACCCCAAGGGAACCATTTCCAGCAGCTACAGAATAGCAGACAGAGGCTTTCTGATAGCTTATTCTAGAGCAACCAGAAGCTGGCAACTGTTTTGATCATGAATTATGGAAAGTGCAAATTAAGTTAAGTAATTAAAGTGACTGAAATGGCTACAGCTTGTTAACTAACAGACATTCTGGAGAAGAATTTTCAGCTACGTGAAAAGCCTTTTATTTCTAGGTTGGGATCAATATTCATGGAATGAAAAAGTAATAAAGATGCAGCCTCTAGAAGCTAAAACTACACAGTTTGTAGATCACCCAAACCAACACTATTTAGGTACTTAACTTTATATACGCTATATTCAAGCCCTAGCGCTTTGATTATTTTTTATTAAATGCCTCTAGTAAACGCAGCAGATGTAAGAACAGATTGATGATGTCCAGGTAAAGATTGATTGCAGCCAATATGTACTCTTCAGGGGATAATTTGTGCATCAGCAAATGAGTGTCATAAATAATAAATCCACAGAACAGAAGCGCTCCAGCAGCAGCAAACACCAACTCTATTGTCTCACTATAAAAAAACAGCTGGAGGCAAATGAAAAAAGACATTTGTAAATTTCATTTTCTTTTCAATATAAAAAAATCTCTGCAAAATGATATGGCCAGATGTAAAACACAGGTCTTGTATCAATACAAGACAGGTAAAACCTTCCATCTATTTACTGTTACATACATACAGACATAACAATACAATAACATTTCAGTGCTCTTATTTCACCTAGCGCCCAGTTATAGAGTCTCTTTAATTGGGTATAAAGTATATCCTTGTAAGAGAGAGGAAGTTCTGGTCTCCAGAACAGAACACAATTATCCAATTAAAAATCAGCTATCCTTCGCATTCCCCCAGTCAAGTGAAAAAACTTTGTCAATCAACTGAAACACCATCTTTATATCAGCAAGAGCAGCATCCAACAAATTTGATTTTGAAATGCATGGTTAAAAGATCGCAGCATAATCTGACAGTAATGAACCTAGCTAGGAATTTTTTGTTCATGAAAATATACTGAACTATCCAAAACTTTTTTTTTTGTGTTACAGCGTAAGCTAGTAAAAGATTTGAGTTGAATAATATCTTTTAATCTTGAACGCAAGGTATCTTACCCTCAAAAACCCTGAGATGATTAAAATCCACAAACAAGCGAAGAGCCTGGAAAAAAAACAAAAAATAAAAAACTGTGAGCAACAATATTAATTTTGTTTAAAACCTCTTCCCCTTCTATAAAACCACCTCAAACAATATATTTGTTACTTAAATGTCCATAAATCTTAGATGTCAACTGTTCATTGGTTCCAGCAGTTAAACTCTGTTGCAGAGAGCAGTCAAAATTGATGGCTGAAATTTACTTTATATTTGAATCAACTCCCTTCCGTCTCAGGGACAAATCCAGATAAACCAGTCCTCTAGCGTAGTACTATGGTTTTAAGAATCATAATCACACTGAGGAGCGCTATGCTAGAAATAATTTCTTATCAAGAGAGCAGCACTGCATACAATTAATAATTTAAGATAAATAACACCCCCAACATTCACTTGAACCGAGGTAACTTCTGTTGACCTGCACTCATTCTTATATCTACAAAAATTGCTAAAAAAAACAAAAAACCATACCCTGCTCCAAATTTGCTGAAGTCTCTCTTTGATTGCAAGGTATATGCAGTCAGTCCAAGGAACACAGCAGTAGTAAGAATAAAGGCTTGGAAGACGATGGATACATCATAGAAGCTCACTATAAACAAAAAAGTAAATTATCATTTACATAAAATATGCTATGTATTTGCTATCTTTTAATGAAAAAGAAAGTTAGACTTTAACTGATAGGAAAACAATCTTATTTATGAACAAAGAAATAAAATTATGCCTGAATTCGTCTTTGCACTTCAAGATCAACGCATAGGATGCACTCGCTCTTGCCCTAGCTAAGTTGGACATTTATGGTATAGCTGTAGCTCTCTTAAAGGAGATAACAGATCTTCTGTAATCATAATAAATACAGCATTTTAATCTTTGATGCACAAGATTTTAAGTAAAAAAAATGTTTTGAATGTTTCATGATACTGATACACGACAAAAATCCCGACACAAGCAATCCTCTGAAAAGGTTCAGAAGAATTTTGACTAGGAGGGTAGGAAGAGAAAAGATAGCTAGGTGAAGCCTTTTTTCCCCCTCCTGCCTCCTTAATCTTACTTTTCCCCAAATGACTCTTCTTTGCAGGAGGCCAGAAACCACAATGAAGTGGTCTGACCTTATGCCAGAAGCTACAGTGCAAGGTGATGCCAGGTCTTCCTCCCTTTACCCCAACCCCGCTAGCCCCTGTGCCATCTCCTCCCTCAACAGAGGATACAAAACTCTCCAACTCAACACAGTTCTCTTAGGGGAAGAAGAGGGGAAAGATGAAGATGTTTGTTTCACTTGCAGATCAGCTCTGCTCCACTGCAGCATGTTAGCGGAAAGTGCCGTATAAGAAAGGGCACTACTAGCTGTACTGAAAGGACAGCACAGCTAGCTCACTTCAGGCTTGTACAGTTTCGGTTCTGGATCACAGAACTTTTCAGGTCTGGAAAAAGGCAGGAAATGAAAGTGAAATGGAATGAAGCCAGAGAAGGCCAGAAAGACTAGCGTTACCATTCTGAATCAGTAACTAATAATCTTGTATCATATATGTTCAGAATCCTAATATTGACATTGTATCATTATATAAACAACACAAAGCTGTTTAGCACCAGCACAAAAAAAGTGAGGAGAAAAAGGGATATTAAACACATTGCTGTAGTGCAAAAAAACCCACAATCTTTTTTCTTGTTATTGACACTCCAATTACCTGTGGTACAGAAGAATTACAGAAATTACTATTTGCGTTTAATAGTTAAAGGGGGTTCAAAATCCAGCTTCCCCCCTTGATTTCCAGGTGTTTGCTGACCTCATATCACTGTCACTGAAAATTTCAAACAGAGGATTTATTATCACTTTAGTCACATCTGGGAATCTCAGGTGGCAATTAGTATAATATATTGGATTCCTTTTCCAATTTCTGTAAGAAATCAGACAATAAAAGGATGACAATCACTTACCTGTAATAGCAACTGTCAGTGCTTCCAAAAGGGTCTACAATAGTAGAAACAAAAAATTGAAAGGATTAAAAAAAAAAAAAATCACATGGGAACTCCATGTACAACAAGTCCTATGCTGCTACACAATCCCAGTATGTATTACATAAACATGTTAATACATAAGAAAACTTAACAAGAGGGCTACATTTTCAACAAAATAATGGCAACCATAACTGTCTTATGTACTGTCTTTCTACTTAGGAAGAACAGGACATAAACTGAAAATGAATCAGAAACATTCCCTATAGAAAATTGTCATTTTGGTCTTCTACTCAGCACACAGCATTTAGTGTGCTTATCACACTTACAAACAATTCAAGGGGCTATAAAATTTCCTCAGAGCTGCTGTTATTAGAAATGAACTATTTTCAGCTTTCTGTATACTTTTCGGTATTTGAAATACTGTCATCCAACAATCTTAAACCCTTAGTAGACCGCTAAGTATCTGCATCAACTCTCCCATCCACACTTGTTTTGAAACAGAACTGTAAATCAAATGTATTATTGATGTCTGGGCACAAGGCTTTTATGGGCCATAAATTTTTCCTAAAAAGCAGTTTCAAATTAAGTTTCGTTACAAGAAAACATGAAAAAAGTATTTATGGCAGGAACCAAGAGGCCTGAAACAAAGCTTTCAACCCATATCTTGTCTAAGCCAGTGGGAGCAGCAAAACGGGTAAAAAAAACAAATAAGCCCTTGCTGAATCTAATATTCAAGCTCCAATATTCTTCCTAGAAAGAAGAGCTAGAGACTATCTAGGAACAACCTGTGGACAGAACATCCAAACAATAATTCAACTTTTTATAAGTATACAGGAGATCATGCAAGAAATAAACAAAAAAAACCAGCCACCCGTTTGATTCAAGGAGTTGATCAAAACGAAAGATATTCTAAAGGACAATTAAGAATTGAATTTATATAGATACTTACAAATCCAAAAAGGAGGTATAAATTAACAGGATGCTGGTGTCTGT